ATCCCTGGAGGTGTTCAAAAAACGTGTAGATGTGGCACTTAGGGATATGGTTTAGCAGGCCTGGTGGTGCTGGGTTGACAGTTGGACTTGACAATCTTAGAGGTCTTTTCCAGCCTTAATGATTCTATGATTCTAGCTAGGTCTTCATTTTGAGCCCATTCTCTTGAATGGTGAAGTGCAATATTCAAGTGGAAGTATGATGCTTTGTAATATATTTAACAATTTATGGTCTCTTCCTCCTTAAAGATTCTCTAAAGTAATTACAATTTGAATAATCTTTTTGTAGTTTCTTGAACAGAAAAACTCAACTACCACTCAGTAGTGCTCTCCTCTAAAATCAGAACTCTACCCAAAACAGATAGCTGTGCTAGCCTGAGGATAAGAGGATACAGGGTCAGATGCCTTTTCCAAAACCTCTTTGTCACACTCAGTTTGTTAAACTGCTGGAGCAGGCTGACTTAGGAAAAAACACTGAAAAGTGTTCAATACAGAAAAACTTGTTCTCTTACTCTGCACATGAAAGGGCTCCAGACTTCGTCTTCCTAGCAGTAAGCTAGGAATAACTACCGGTGACAAAATTATATTGGTGTTTCTGGTGCTCTGTTTGTAAAAACTGGCTGTCACTTTATGCCTTACTAAAATAACAGAAATTCAGTGATTCTCATGGAACTAGAGTCTAGTTGTATTCACTTAAACAAAAATAGATCTACAAAAAAAGCTAGCAGATGCCAAAATAATAAATCCCAAGAAGGGAATAGAAGGCTTCTCTGTGGAAGACTAATCCAAAATTTTATTTTCACCACTGCAAATCCTTAATAGCATGAACTGCAGTGATGTTGCCTTGGATTTACACAAATGCAAGTAAGAGGATTTAATCCGCTGAAACCACTTTTGATGTGACATTTTTCAAAGTGCTTGGTGTTGTACTGTCAATGATGCACGTACCTGGCTTTGGACTTGCTTTTTTCTTCTCTGCACGTTTAAGCTGTTCTTCATGAATCTGCTGCCCGGTCATGAGTCTGTATACAGGAGGGTCTGCATTCTCACGAAGAAGAACTAGCTTCAGGCCATGCTGATCCATAAGTTTGAGCGCCTCTGCTCGGTGCATATTTCCTAAGCTCTCTCCATCCTGGTTGATGACGTGCAAAATCCGATACGGAATTCTTCGCCCAACGCTTCCAAATGCTGCTTTCCTTTTTGGCTCCGTGTGAGGTTTTTCTGCTGTACAAAGTGGTTGAGCAAGTCCAAACACAGTTGACTTTCTAGGGTCAGGTACCACCATCCAGAGTGGAGAAAAGACCCTCTTTTGTGGTGTTTGTGTCAGAACGGTGCCAAAGAATCTTTTTGCATATCTATTCTCATTTCTGCTTGCTTGGCATAAAAGTTTCATCACACCAAAGGCAGTCATTCTGAGGAAGCAGGAAAGAAGAAAAAACAAGTTATGCCCATCGGTCTAATTCTTCTGGTTATATTAGAAAGGCTTGACTCCGGTTCAGTAAACCCTAGTCCTTAAAACTAGTCTCTCAAAAAGATGCATGATGCTACTACACAGATTGAGCAATCGACAGTAATTTTACAGTAACAGAGGGCTTTAACCCAGAGAGAAAGTCTGACAAATGAATAAAATTTATGAAGAGTTGATGTTATCTTCAGTATTTTAAAATTTGAGTCTGAACACCTTTAAAGAATCCAAAACTCCCTAGTTCATTTCTCCTCACAAGAGCATCTACTCTTACACTGCTTTTTTTTGTGTATATCCAGGTTAGCCAATGGTTAAGATGGAGAACTTGCTGTCAGATAAAAAGGCATGTCACACTTAGTGTTTTCAGTCCAGATTTTTTTCATGAAGCATCTAACAGTAGGACTTTCTTCCTGGTTCTGATACTATTCTTTGGAAAGGGTTTCATTTAAGCCACATTAATTCATAACCACCCTAATCATGTAGTGAATGAAGTGATGATTTGTGCAACATGTCAGCAGCCATCCCAACATCTACAGCCTGACTCTTCTATGTTTTGGAATTTAAAAGCCTTAACCATACAGCGTAAGACTGCCATGCAAAATCTTCCCCTTGGCATTAAAACACAACAAAGTGACCATTACTGTACTTGAAAATATGGCTTATCCCAGGGTTGAAAACTCTTCCATAGCTAGCATGCAACTTGCTCCTTGCAGCACTGACCCCAAATTGTGCATTATTCTCCATTTCCCAAATATCATTTTGTGGAAGTAATCCAACTAGTTACTTGGTCTTGTATGGAGTAAGCACTAACATTATATCAGTAACCTTAAAACAAAAATAAATTAAAAAAAAAAGTGTCTTCACTGTCTTTTAAGCTCCAGTTCCACAGATTTGGCCATGCTCCAAAGTGAAAGCAGTGCCTTAACTGTAAACCTTTAAAGTATTGATTGACTTTCCCAAACATTAAAATTAGGGTGGCACATTCTTATTTACAGTGAGCTGATTTTTTTCTAGTTACCAAAACTATTTAGATTTCTTACATACAGAAAGCATTCACCTAAGTAGCATTAATTGGAAAGGGCAATTTACCGTAGACATTTCACCCCAACTACCTAGTAAAAACACCGATAATGGTATTTTACTTTCTTGTTGACAAAAGCTTGCGGGGAAAAAAAAAAAAAAGAGAAAAATAGAGACACAGGTAAGACTTGCCTGCAACACAGGGACTGGAAGATAAGTAACACATTCATATGCCTAAGATCCCCACTTGCAAATTAAAATTTAAATAAATTGTTAACAGACATCTATCCTGGCATGGTACTCACGCAGCTACAGACTTTAAAAGCAAGCCTCAAAATACACCAGTGCTTGAAACCTGAAGACTAGTGAAACCAACCTTTGAGACATTCCTTCCCTTACAATTTTTTTCTCCATTCTTCCCTGGTTCATGGAATCCCCCCAGCAATTTTGGTGCACCTGACCATTATTTGCATTTTGTTCAAAACTTCAGAAATCGGCCATTTTTTTTAACAGCTGCAAAAAACTTTAGAAACAAAGATCAAACTGTGAAGGTTTGGTGTTCCATGTTTAAAAGGCAGCAAGTACAGGAAAAGCCAAAGCTGATACAGGAAGCCAAAATGGTGTCATACCAGATGAGTCGGGGCAAGAGTGTGACTTCTTTTGCCTAGTGAGGAATGTATCTGCTCTATAAATATATACATGCCTACAAATATATATATGAGATTGTGTGAACATGTATCATGTGTGTACATATACATGGAGAAGGTGCAAATGATCCGCAAGGATAAGGAACTGTTCATAATCCTAAGCAGTGCTGGCCCAGGAACAAGTAAAATACCTGCCCGGGAATCACAGAATCACAGAATGGTCGGGGTTGGAAGGGACCTCTGTGGGTCATCTAGTCCAGCCCTCCTGCCGAAGCAGGGTCACCTACAGCAGGCTGCACAGGACCTTGTCCAGGCGGGTCTTGAATATCCCCAGAGAAGGAGACTCCACAACCTCCCTGGGCAGCCTGTTCCAGTGCTCCATCACCCCCAGAGGGAAGAAGTTCTTCCTCATGTTCAGACGGAACTTCCTGTGCTTCAGTTTGTGGCCCGTTGCCTCTTGTCCTGTCGCTGGGCACCACTGAAAAGAGTCTGGCCCCATCCTCCTGACACCCACCTTTGAGATATTTATAAGCATTTAAAAGGTCCCCAATGCTTATAAATATCTTAGGGGTGGGTGGGAATAAACTCGGCCCGCAAACGGGGGACGTTCTGGAGCCTGGAGCAGACCTCGGACCTTGGCAGGGACGCGCTGCGTGCGGACGGGCGCGGATCAGCCGGCGGAGGGGGCCC